AAAAAAAAAAAAAAAAAAACCGTAACAACAGATCTCTTTTCTCAATGTCCTCAGCAATTTGTATCCCATTACAATTCCTAATCACACTCCACCTTTCACGTCTATCTTCACGGTTTGATTTATAATCACTATGAACCAGTTGTAAAACCAAGTGTCATTAATTCTGCTAAGATCTTTCATTCAGGTTTCTCAGGGCCTCCACTGGATTCCATTTAGGAGACCCCTAGCTCATCAAGTATACCTGTGTATATCTAATCCATCATTGTAAATTGATTTTTTATCTTGAACCACATGCATTGAGAAATACATTCCCTTGTCCCCTGAACATACATGGTTAATGGTTAGGAAACTCCTCGAATGTCAGGTGTGGTGGCTCATACCTGTAATCCTAGCACTCTGAGAGGTTGAGTGGGTGGACTATCTGAGCTCATGAGTTCGAGACCAGCTGGAGCAAGAGCAAGACTAAAAATAAAAAAACTAGGTGCAAGGCCTGTGTGGATCTTAAAGGCATTACCATGGCTTCCAGCACTGTTTCCGTGAAGGCTGCCAGCTTGGCAAATGAAACTCCTGAAATTCCAGACAACGTGGGAGATTGGCTTCGGGTGTCTATCGCTTTGCCACCGATAGAAATGATTTCCGGAGGAACTTGATCCTCAATTTGGGACTCTTTGCTGCGGGCGTTTGGCTGGCCAGGAACTTGAGTGACATTGATCTCTTGGCACCTCAGCCAGGGGTGTAGCCACGTAGACAAATGGAATCCTGTGCTGCACCTGAACCTTTCAAAAACAGAGCCTATAATCTGTGACCACCACAAGGTATGCCTTGATGGCAGCTGAAGTTTGATCCTCATGGGCACCTTCCTCTTCTCTACCTGGTTTCATTTCGTTTCAAGTCTCCTCAGAGCTCCATTCTCTGGTCAGCAGTCAGGCTTCAGCTAAAGCATTGCCTCTGGTCTGTAAAGTTCTGTACATAGTTCAGTTCTGTACATAGTTCTGTGCAAGTTTTTGAAGAGGGTGATCTTTGCTCCTGAGGAATAACAGTGTTGTTTTAACAAACATTTGAAATAAAGACTGCACGCACAAAAAATAAATAAAAATCAAAAAACTAGTTGGGCATTGTGGCAGACACCTGTAGTTCCAGCTATTTGAGAGGCTGAGGCCAAGAGGATCACTTGAGCCCAGGAGTTTGAGGTTGCTGTGAGCTATGATGCCATAGCACTCCACCCAGGGTGACAGAGTGATACTCTTATCTCATTAAAAAAAAGGAAACTTCCTGAATATTCTAAGTTGGGTAGGACCCCGGGGGCACTAGTATAGTGGACCACTAGGGGGAGGTGTGCTCCTCTAAGTGAGTTTAACATTGGCTACTGTGGCTTTGCCCAAAATAAAACAAAGTTTAATCAGTTTCAAAACTCAGGGCTGGGGGCAGCGCCCCTAGCTCAGTGGGTGGGTAGGGTGCCGGCCACATACACCCAGGCTGGAGGGTTTGAACCAGCCCAGGCCAGCTAAACAACAATGACAACTGCAACAACAACAAAAAATAGCAGGCATTGTGGCAGGCGCCTATAGTCCCAGCTATTTGGGAGGCTGAGGCAAAAGAGTCGCTTAAGACCAAGAGTTGGAGATTGCTGTGAGCTGTGACTTCACCGCTTCTACCAAGGGCAGCATAATGAGACTCTGTCTAAAAAAAAAAAAAAAAAAAACACACCCTCGGGCTCAGGCAGGGCGCAATGGCTCCTGCCTGTAATCCTAGCACTCTGGGAGGATGCAGGTAGGGGAGTAAGGGGGTGGGGAGTGGATTGCCTGAGTTCAGTAGTTGGAGACCAGCCTGAGCAAGAGCAGGATCCCCTCTCTAAAAAAATAGCTGGGTGTGTAAGGGCCAGACCAGCACCATTTTGTTGTCTACTGCATAAGCTCTGTTCCTAGCCCTTCCACCTCCCTCCACCCCAACCACCAGGGAAACCCGCAGGGCCACTCCCTGCTGCCTCCCCCACCCCT